AGACATTTTGGGGAGCCAATATTTTGCCTACTACACATGCAAACATTAGTGAGAAAACTAGAGTGGCTATCAGACAATTGCCCCCGGATCATTTATCAAAATATACCATATTTTGGACGGTATAAAAGTTTCAATAAATTTAAAAGATTGAAATCAATAGAATATGTTCTCTGACCGCAAAGGAATTGAATTGGAAATCAATAATAGAAAGACTTGGAAGTAAACAACACACTTTTAAATAACAAGGGAAATTACAAAAGATTTTGAAAAAAAAAAATGTAAACAAAACATATGGGCTGCAGCTAAAGCAGTGCTTGGTGAAAACTTTAGAGATTTAAGTACTTATATTAAATAGAAAGAAAGGAAAAATCAATAATCCAAATTTCTACCTTAAGCTAGTGATAGAGGTGCAAATACAAAACCAAAAGTAGGCAGAAGAAAATAAATAATAAAGGTAAGAGTAAAAATCAATGAAATAGAACACAGACAAACAACAGAGAAAAAAATCAATGATACTAAAAACTGGTATGCTTTGAAAAACTTTGAAAATATCATAAAATGGATACATTTCTAGCTAGACTGATTTAAGGAAAAGAATACAAAAATTACCAAGATCAGGGATGAAAAAGGAACATTATATAGGCTACAGATTCTAAAGAGCTAACAGGAAATATTGTGAACAACTTCATGCCAATAAGTTTGATAGCTCAGATAAAACTGATATATTTCTTGAGAGACACTGTACAAGTTTCTTATTGCTATTGAAATAAATTACCATAAACATTGTGTCTTAAAACAATACAATTAATTTATTATCTTATCATTCCACGAGTTAGAAGTACAAAGGGAGCTTCATCTGGCTAAAATCAAGGTATTGGCAGAATTCTATTTCTTCTGGAGGCTCAGAGGAGGAGGATCTGTTTTCCTCCGTATTCCAGATTTCACAGGCAACCTGAATTCCTTGACTCCTGACCCCAGGGAGCAATCACAGCAGTCTGACCTCCGCTTCTGCGGTCACATCTCTTCTCTGATTCTGACACCCTGCACCCCTCTTATGAAGGCATTTGTGATGACATTGGGTTCGCTTAGATGATCCAGAATAATCTTAACAGTTCAAAATCCTTAACTGAATGATATATTTGAAGTCCCTTTGCCATGTAAAGTTACACATTTACAGGTTTGGGGGATTAAAAAATGAGCAACTTTGGGATGTTATTCTGACTACCAGAGATACAAATTACCAAAATAGATACACAAAGAAATTAAATATCTGAATAGGCTTATACTATAAAGAATGTGTATTAGTAGTTAAAAATCTTTCCACTAAGAAACTTACAGGCTGAGATGATTTCAGATTTTAGTCTGTCAAATATTTATGGAAGAAACAAACATTGACTCTTCATATCAAACAGAAAAATTACCCTAAAATGATATTAGAGACCTAAACATAAAAGCAAAACCTATATCAAATTGATTTGAAAAGGGAGGAAAATACCAAATGTTAGCAAGGATGACGAACAGCTGAACTTCATATATTGCTGGTAAGAATAAAAAATAGTACAACCACTGTGAAAAACAACTTGGCAGCTTCTTAGTAAGGTAGAAATGTACTTTCTATAGTCCACCAATTCAAATTTTAGGTTTTTACTTCTCAAAAAACATGTGAAACATATGAAGACATGCATACACACAAAGACCTGTCCTTTAATGGTAGTAGCTATATTTAAAAAAACAACAACACAGAAGTGGAAGCTGGTAACAACCAAAATGTTCATCATAAGGTGAAGAGATAAAGAAATTATGGTATATTTACTATGAATGCTACTCAGAAATAAAAAAAAGAACAAAGTAGTGATATTTGTAACAGAATGGATGCACCTCAAAAATATTATGATGAAAAAAAAGAAAGACACACTGTCTGGGGGTGTAGCTCAGAGGTAGAGTGCTTGCTTAGCATGCAGGAGGCTCTGGGTTCCATCCCTAACAATGAAGAAAGAAAGAAGGGAGGGAAGGAAGGAAGGAAGGAAGGAAGGAAGGAAGGAAGGAAGGAAGGAAGGAAGGAAGGGAGGGAGGGAGGGAGGGAGGGAGGGAGGAGGAGCCAGGTGTGGTGGCACACACCTGAAATCCCAGCAGCTGGGGAGGCTGAGGCAGGAGGATCTCCAGTTCAAAGCCAGCCTCAGCAACTTAGTGAGACCTTGTTTCAAAATAAAATGTAAAAAATAGGAAGCACTCCATGGTGGAGCACTTGCCTAGCATGTGTGAGGCACTGGATTCGATTCTCAACACCACATTAAGTAAATAAATAAGTAAAATAAATAAAGATATTGTGTCCAACTACAACTAAAATAAAAAAACAAACAAATAAATAAATAAATAAAAAGGGCTGGGGAGGTTGCTCAGTGGTTAGGTGCCCCAGAATTCAATCCCCAGCACTGAGAGAGAGAGAGAGAGAGAGAGAGAGAGAGAGAGAGAGAGAGAGAGAAGGGGGGAGATACAAGACAGTAATTATTGTATAATTTCTATTAATATTAAATTTTACAACAAACTAATATGTATTGACAGGAAGCAGGTCAGTGGTTAACTGGGACGAGAGGAATTAACTGCAAAAGAGGTTATTTTTTGCAATGATGGCATTTTTATTGCAGTAGTGATTACATGAGTGTATTATTTGTCAAAATTCATTGAACTGTGTGCTCAAAATGAATGCATCTTAGTATGTATAGATTAGGCCTCAATAAAGTTGATTTCTAAAAATAAAAGAAAAAAAATTAAAGAAACAAACATTTGGGCCCCATTCCTAGTGATTCCAATACAGCAGGATTGACATGGGGCCCAGCTATCTGCATTTTAAACAAGACCCATCAATAATTATGCTCCACTTATAAAAATAGTACTGGTCTCTCCAAGCACCCAGTTCCTGGGCAACCAATAAACTAGGCAAGCAGAGAAAAGTAAAAATATAAGTGTTTGAGTTTTCTTGTGGCCTTGTTCCATCTCCAACCTTCATTATTTAGTTGGAATATCCTCCTGGGTACTCTGATCTCCCAACTGTTGCCTCAGCTGTGGATACACTTGAATCATTCGTTATTTACAGAAGAGTGTTTGCTGGGAAAATAAATGGAAGAAAAACAAAATAAAAACTCATTATAAATGCAGAGTGACCAATTTATTTGCAGAGAACAAATTCCTTCCTACAAGGTCATTCAAGTCTGGCACCAGGTGGGCTTGGCTGACACAGTTCACTGGGTACATTATATCCATAAATATGCTTATCCTGGGGGAAGAGCAGGTGGACAGGGAGTCTGATGGGCCACCTGTGTGGAGAATGAAATAGCACAACAAATACACTAAAAACACTCATAGTCCTGCCTCTTCCTCATCCCACTTCTAGAAAAGAGGAAAGAGTCATTTCCCTGCCAAATTAGATGAAACCAAAGGGCTCTATTTTCATTCTTTGGTGTTTTTCTGCTACCTGGCATATCATCCCCATCTTCTGTTCCCCTGCTGTACCTACCTGTTGAAATCTTCCTGTCCTTCATGACCTGGTTTAAATAACACTTTCATCAGGCTTTATCAGATTCCCCATAGTCAGAGGAAATCTGTCTCTCCCCCCTGAATTCCTGTGGCACTTGACTTGAAGAACTCTTGCAAAAATCTTGACTTAAAATTTACTTATCCATGTGCATGCCATACCTATTGTATTAGATTGTGATATACTTGATTGTAGAAACTATAACCTCTGACCTAGGCTAGCTGAAGCCTGCATAGATCCTAGTAGAATGCTTTGCACTTAGTGGGTGTTTTACATGCAATTATTGTTGAAATGAATGAATGATTTGATCCATGCTCGTTCATTCCTATGAGTTTTTGCTCATGCTGTCCTCCCTTCCTGGAAAGCCATTCCCACCTCAACTATTACTTCTTCCAAGAAGACCTCCAGATCCCCACATTGTTGGCTCCTACAGCACGCTGTTCGTCTCTCTATTTAACCACTTGCCACCACCACCATATGTCAAAATTAATTATTACCTGTTTTACCTACTTATTCATAAGCCAAATATTCCATCCTTATCTTACCACCATCCACCCCAGTGTTTGCTAATAGCATGCAATTCCTAAAATTTGAACCGAATGATCTCTTTAGAAGTTTCTGGAAGCATTAGCCCCTGCTACAGAGGGCTGCGTTATTTAGTTTGTGTTCCTATTAGACTGACCAAAACTGCCTAAAGGTCTCATTCCCAGAAAAAATCCAGCACAGCCTTCTGGCCCGAAGTTTCCACATGACTGAATAAAGAAGCAGGTCCATAGGTTTTCCTGAGGGCCCTTAAGTCCCATGATCCCGCGTTCCAGGGAATCCCCAGAAGAATAGATTGTTGAGTACAAAAGTGGTGAGTGTGGCTTCTCCTCGCAATGTTTTTAAGATGGGGCCCCAGTTCTCTGGGGTGACTGGACATAGAATTTCGGGACCTGTTCGAGTCCCAAGAATTCCTCTCCTTTAGTGTATTTCTTTCTACCTTTGCCCTCGTCCCCTCTTTTCAATTTCCTCGTTCTCCCAGCCTCTTCCTTTTCTTAACTGTTTCTTTTACCAGCCCGGCTGCACTGTCCCAGTACCTCTGCTTTGGGTTTCTCTCGCTTTCCCTTCCTCGCCAGTCGGAATTACCTCGTCCATCTCGGGTCCCCTTCGTTCGTTCCGCTCCCTCACCCCTGCCCCCACCCCTGGGGCCACACACCCGCACCTCTCTGCCCTGCGGGATGCAGAGCCTCCTCACCGAGCCAAGACGTGAGAGGGTGGGTGGGTCCTGGCGCCGCGGTCCCGCCCCTTGGTGCGTGTGTGAATGTCTGTGTGGCGGTGACGCGGCGCCGGCGGCAGGCAGGGGAGGGAGGCCGGGCCCGCCTGAGAGGAAGGCGAGCCGACCGCTGGGGCTGCTCGGCTCCTGCGCGCCCTCGCGCTCTCCGCCGCCTGCCGAGGCGCTGGCAGGGCGCAGGCGGCGGCGGGCGGCATGGAGAGCCTGCTGGAGAATCCGGTGCGCGCTGTGCTCTACCTCAAGGAGCTCACGGCCATCGTGCAGAACCAGCAGAGTCTCATCCACACCCAGCGCCAGCGCATCGACGAGCTGGAGCGGCGTCTGGACGAGCTAAGCGCCGAGAACCGCAGCCTGTGGGAGCACCAGCAGCTGCTGCAAGCGCAGCCTCCGCCTGGGCTCGTCCCCCCATCGTCAGCCCCGTTGCCGGCTCCTCCGGCCACCGCTCCCGCCGCGGCCCAGGAACCGCTCCAGAACCACGGACAGCTCCAATCCGCCACACCACAGTCCGCGCCCGAGCAGCCACAGCTTCAGCACCACGGACAGCTTCTGGTGCAGCCCCAGGCGGGCCCCAGCAGTAGGGCTCACTCACCCCAATCACCCCACCAGCACCCGGTGACACTTGGGGCCGTCGCTGACAAGGAGAAGGAGCGTCCCCCGAGTTGTTGCGCTGCCGCCGGAGCCCTCCTTCAGCACAAATCCCCCGCCGCCCTCGGCAAGGGCGTCCTGAGCAGGAGACCCGAGTGAGTGGGGAAGAGATGGGGACTGTTGGGAGGAGAAGCAAGTGGGTGTGAGGAGGCAGGGGGGAAATCGGATGCACGCAAGAGTCTGAAGGACTAGGGTAATGTGAACTGAAGGAATGAGAAGCTGCCTTGGGGTAGAAGCGTGTCAAGGAGATTTGGGGGAAAGAAGGAAGGGATATCAGTGTTTGAGGTTTTATGGATATTGGAGCAAAAGGGTTATTCAGACTATCTTGGGGGCAAAGAAGCAAAGAAATGGATTTTAAGTGATTGGGCTGTTGGGAACTGGAGGGCTTAAAAGGGACAAAAGTGGGAGGAGGTTGTGGTGAAGATTAAACTGAAGAAAAGAGAACCATCGAAGGATTTAAGTTAGGAAAAAAAAATTTGAGAGTTCGGGTACAAAAATTATTTAAACAAAGTGAAATATTTTTTAAAAAACCACAAAGGTTTGACCGAGAGGCTTCTTAAGAGCTTTAAAAGGGATGGGGTCCAGATGGAGTAGCATTGGAATAGAGAGGAATTCAGGAGGTAGAGGTAAAGCTGAAAGGCAGGAGTGATGTGAAAAGAGAGGGGATCTGAAGACAGGGGGAGATAAAGGGTAGGCGAAAGCATTTCCCAGAGGAGCGAGATGGCTCTTTAACTGATGCAGTGGGAGTCAAAGCCAGGAGTGGCTCATTTAGGGAAGCTTACTCCGCTCTCATCTGAGTGGCCACCTTTCTTCCAAATCCCTGCAGAGCCAAAAGAGTGCAAGGAAACAACTCACCAAGCCAATGAAGGACTCTTGATATAGCTTGGGGATTCAGTCTCGTTACAAAATTTTCCTCTGATTCAAGGAGGATATCTGTGCAGAGTGGTCGGCAGTTGTGGAAAGGGAACAATGATGAGGGAGACAGCTGGAAAACAGTAGTTATGTTAATGCGGCCTCTTTAAATCTGTTATGTCTAATGATTTCAAACCTTATTTCCCCTTGGTTATTTGCTGATAACTGGAATCTCACATTGGGTACCAAGAGAATGGTACCATCGCCAGTGGGGTTCTAGAACCTCAAGCTTTTTTCACTCATGAGATCCATGAACTAGGAATGTGGGAAGAAAAGATGAAGGGGAGCTAAAATATCTTCTCCTCTGTATCAGGAAGTCTGTGATCACATCAGCTTTCCCTCTCTGATTAAACAGGTGATGAAAGAACTGCATGGAAGAACAGCCCTGGGGAAATCAGTACCTGGTCAGCACCTGGCCCTGATGATGATGATACTAAAGGAATGGAGGGAATTGGGAGTGGGGGAAGGTGGAAGGAGGCCTAGGAATCTTACCCTCATTCAGTCTCAAGTGTGCTTTATTTCTGGAGGATACTTGTGAAAATTCACTGTATTCCTTAAAAACTCATTTTCTTCCCAGCATTCTTCCAACACAAAACCCCCTCATTTTGTTGGCCCAACTGCTGCAAAGTTAGAGGAGGTGGGTCAGGACATGTTAGTTCAGAAGATACATTTGATCAGAATCATGGGATCTAAGGAGTAAAGATCTAGAATGATTCGGCTTGACAGATCTGAAGTATTTGATTCAAGCCCCAAGAAAATAACAACTTTCTTCTTCAACTCACTCAATGGCCCACTTATCCTCTCAGTTTCATGGTTTTTCTTTCTTTATCTGACATAAAAAGCAGAAAGTCAGTTTTTCTTCAATTCCCATGGCTCAGCAAAAGGCAAAATTTTCCCAAGGTATTATGCGGTCTTTCCCCCAAATATAGGAAAATGAACTATTCCACTCCATCTCCTTGGAGGCAGCCACAGCTTCCTGATAATTAATTCTTCACCTGATTCATCTCTTCATGACATTTGGGGTCTCCCTTCTCTCCCACTGCACCCCCACTTTCTTTGCATCTCTTCAGGGGACTGTGTGAGCAAGAAGGGTTGATGACATATCTTTTTCTTGCATAAAGACTTTTTCTGAGGCTCCCACAGTGGTCTAGAGAGCTCACACCTTATGTCCAGATGCTCCTTCTTGGAAGCCAGGGACTTAGAATTTACCTGGCTTCCTATCCAGCCTCACATGTCAATACCATGTGATGTCCTTGTCCTTATCTTTCCTTCTCCCCTGCCCTGCTTTTGCTTCTCAAGAGAGCGGAACAAAAATAAGAAATAATTAGCATGATGGAGGAGAGTAGAAGTTATTGAAAATCTTTCATTTAGAAGTTGTGCCAGACACTAAGAGGTTAATAACACCAATAGCTCTTTACTTTCTCCAGAGCTTCAAGCTCTGCCTCTTGTCCCCAGGCCTCAGTACCCAGAGACTTAGAGAACAGGGATATGCCTGCATTACCTCCTCCCTGCAACTCTCTTCCCCTAGATGTGAAACCATTCACATCTTGGCTGGTGGGATGACTTTTGGACCACCTGTTTCTTTTCCCACTGTTTTGCTTGATGTCAACCCAAATTTCCCTTAGAACCTTGGGAAGGAATCACCATTGCTAACTATGTGTTTGGTCCCCATTCTGGATGTTTGACCTCCTCACACCCCTCTCTAGAGTGCAGGGCTAGATGGAGCAGCGGGCAGGGAGAGATCTCCATGGATAGGTTGAGGTAGGGAGAAGAGCAGAACCAAAAGCCCTCTGGCTGGTATTTCTCCAGGGAGCTCCCTGATGAATCAGTTCCCTATAAGCATGCTGAAGCAGGAAGAAGAGATCACAGAGAGGACTCTGGATCATAATTTCGCTGTAAATATTTTCTCATTCCTCTATGCCTCATTATATAGCAAGAATGTGTCCTGAGCATGGAGACTGAAGAGAGGGTGGTTTCTGTGTTAGATGCATTATTTCAGCACAGAGTTTGAAGTTATCCCCTTAACTCCCTTTCCTGCTCAATTCCAGGAGAGGCAGAAACCCTGGAAAACCTGTGACTACAAAATAATGAATCATTTAATTGCCACCTGGTCTACATTAACATGTGACCTGCCTTCTCTCCCTCCTTCAACTGAGGGACACACAAAGGGGGTGGCATTGGAGGTCAGACTAAGGAAGAAATTATGTGGAGGTGTGTGAGCCTAGAAATATTATGAAAGAAAAATCCTCAAGGGGTTAAAATTCTTTCTCTGCATGCTTCTCAACTCTTGCTAAGCTCTGGCCCCCACTGCTTATGCTTCTTAATGAAAGCAGCAAACATAGCTTTCTCCTCTTTATTTTTTCAATCAAGGTTCACAGCATTTACAGAACTGACTATTATCCCTTTCCTGGTTGGAGCCAGGCCTCAGCCTGACCTGGCAAAGTCCCCTTGCCATGGAAGCACATGACCCTATCTAAAGCTGCTGGCTTCAGTGTGACCACAGCTTCTCTGTTTAAGCACAGTTGCCTACCTACTCGATCATGCATTTAGAGTATGGATACCAGCACTTGCCTGTATCTCCACACCCATAGGCAGGTGATTACTGGAAGTTAGATAAGATTCTTATATTATACTTCAAATTCAGCTTTTACTCCAAGCTCCCTATCTCAATGTGGCTGCAAAGTCTGAATGGCTTAGCTTAATAATTCCTGCCTTCTTTCTTCCTCCTTTGTCTTCCTTTTATATCCTTCCTCTTACTTTTCTTTTTTCCCTCTCCTCTGTTTTTCCTCCTTATTCTTTTCCCCTTTCTTCTCTTTCCCTTGAATTCTCTCTCTCTCCTTTGCTTCCTTCTATCCTTCACTTTCACTTAAGCTACACAGGTTTGTCTCTTTCCTCTCTGCACTTATCCTTTAATCATGAAATAAATCCATTTTTTTCTGATGCTGGGAATGCCACCTGGGGCCTTGCACAAGCTAGGCAAGTGCTCTATCACTGAGATACACCCCCATCCCTGCATGAAATAAATCTTGAGTCATCTTTGGAGCTCCTTGGTCTAATGCTGGCTGGAGGCTGGGGATGGCTAAAAGAGCTCTTGCTTTTAGCTGGATGTAGTTTTTAGCCTGAGTTTTCTAAGACATGAACAGCAGGTGTTTCTGTTGTTATTGAGTGAGGTCTGCTTGAAGATGGCAGTTCCTGTCTGCTTGATGATGGCAGTTCCTGTCTGGTCCATTCTGGAAGCTATTAAGAAAGGGTGAAGGTCTATCAGTCAGCCAACTAAATGTATCATGTATCCAGTCCATTCAAAACCCTTCACTCTGTGCTGTAGAAAAATAGGAAAGAAGCAGGTGGTCCTTGCTCAACCCACATGAGACACATATCTGGAAACATTTAAACAAGTGTAAGCATATTGGGGTGATCTAAAGCTACCTTCTATCAGAACAGCACAGGATAAGAAAGATGTGTATACATATTAGGTTCAGAGCCAGAGAATTCTTGGTTGGATTTAAGAAAGGGTTCATGTCAGGAAATAGTAAAAGTCAAGGATAACCAGAAAGGAAACAACCAAGATGATTCAAATCCTAGAGATGTCTGCATTGCACGTGGATATCATTCCATCCTCTGATGGTACAGTTCCCCACCTCTTGTACCCTCCTGACCTGGAAAGCCTCAGCACACAGGGAATCTATCTTGTGTCTAGAAGGCCTGAGGAAGCATTATACAGCCAAGTCTCACCAATCTGCTTATCCTTTTTTTGTCTTCTCCTACCCTCACAATGGAGAGGACTCCTATTCAATAAGTTGGAAAATGGGGCCAGAATGAAGGCTCATTGAGAAGAGGGAGTAGGTGTCTTTTTGCTCATTCCTGGAAGCTGGTGTAGAATGAATGGGCTGTCCCCTACCTTTCCAAGGTCCTGGAATGTTGTTCTTACCTTCCCTTCATCCAAAAAGAACACAATTTTAGAAAAACAGGTCATTTCTTTGCCCCTGGGAAAGCCCTGTGCCTTGCTCCACCGCATCTTTCTCCTTCCACACTCTCAGGCCCTTCCCAGACTCACACAGCCAACACCACAGGGCCTTACGAAGACATCCTGGCACATTTTCCCCTTGGCCCAAAATCAAGAGAGAGGAATAGCAATTGGTCCTGCTGATTCAGCAAATATCTATCTGTGCAGCCTGAGTTTCAA